CAATTTCGAAAATAATGACTTTTTATTCTGAGTTGAGGAGAGGAAGAAGGAGAAACGTTCGAAATAGAACGGAAATCGTGGTTGTTGTTGTAATGGATTGGCTGGTGATGACGCGTTTTTAAAATGCTATCAAAAGCATAAAAAGTTTGCTGTGTAACAACTAATCGCAAAAGTACTTTAGATTAGAATTTTATCGGCTATTATATATTTAATAATAGCATTTGACAATTACCGCATGAACAATAAATATGAAAATGATTTTTCAAATGCAATCAACTAAAGTCTGAAAGACCATTACGAACCGTGTTGTCGATGAATACCTTATCTTGGGAATTGAATTCTGTCCTCTCTATGAAGTAATCATGGAATAATTGAAGACATAACACAACATTCTAAAAAAAAAACTCAAATATCAGAAGGTAAAACTTACTATTATCTTCCAAGGAGGTAAACGGAATTGGTGCATATTTATAAGTACATATCTCTGTCGCGGTGGAATTTTGTAATCAATTAATTAATATTTTAGATAAAAATATATTAGCTACCACAATTTACTATAAAAGAATTAGCTTCTAGCACACTTCAAGTATTTACTTTTCATCGATTTAAAGTCCAGGACCAAAGTGGCGAATAGTGAAAAACGAATAGTAAATATTACAAATTGAAATTTCGTTTTGATTTGAACAAAAGTGTGACGAAATGAAAATAATTTTCCTGGGATTAATTTTGGCATTAGCCATAGCCGATGCGGGACGTTTATTGAATCCTTGCAAGCAGCCTGGATTTTTCGCGCACGTTGATAATACATCTGCTTTTTATGGCTGCTATCTAAATGAAGATGGAAATTTGGATGTAAAATATTTGACATGCGCAACTGGTCACCTCTTCAAACGCACTGCCGGATATTGCGTGCCCAAAACTACTTTCGCAATTGAAGCAAGAGCCGTCACGGATAGTAATAACGATGTAGAAAATCCCACCGAACCGACTACTACGACAAAAGGTGATATCATAAAACCTACAATTCCCACAACCGCTGCTACTGGTAGCACTATTAACGGCAACACAAAAGTAGATAATAATGATGACGGTGAAACCACAGAGGGTTCCACTGAGGCTACAACAACTGTAGAAACAACAGAGGTTACTGAGCAACCGGAAACAACTGAAAACTCTACGGAAACTACTGAGGAACCTGCAACCACTGACGAAACCACAGTCGTCTCTACTGAAGAACCTGCAACGACCGAAGAGACTACCGAGACTACTGAGGAACCCGCTACAACTGCGAGCACTACTAAGACAACTGAAGAACCAACCACAACTGCGAGTACTACTGAGGAACCAACAACAACTGATGAACCTAATACTACTGCAAGCTCTACTGAGACAACTGAAGAACCAACAACAACAGCTAGCCCTACTGAGACAACTGAGGAACCTGCAACGACTGAAAGCTCTACTGAGGAACCAACAACAACTGGAAGCTCTACTGAGACAACTGAAGAACCAGCAACAACTGCGAGCTCTACTGAGACAACTGAAGAACCTGCAACAGCTGGAAGCTCAACTGAAGAACCTGCAACAACTGGAAGCTCTACCGGCTCAACTGAAGAATCATCCACAACGAGCGGGTCAGTTAGCACAACTGAACCGGAGAGCACTACTTTACCTGCATTTGATTGTCCCGATGAGGGCTTCTTTTCCCAATCTGGATCATGCGATAAATTCGCCTACTGCGCTAATGTTAATGGTGAAATAAAGTACTATCTACTAAGTTGTCCCACGGGCCAACAATTTAATTATTATGAATCATTCTGCGATGCAAATTTCGATTGCGCTGATGCAACGCGCTCAGTAAGTCGCAATTCAGCACGCCGCCGTTTCAACATATTTCGGCTTCTTAATCATTTCTAGATCAGTTGTGTTTTTTGTGGCTGAATTAAAAGTGGAACTTTGATACAAATATACTTTCTAAAATAGTTTTTTATTAGAATACCAGTTAAAAAATAAAATAAAAACAATAAACAATGCGCTGGCTTGCTAACGAATCCGGAACCTACTGAACCATCTACCGTAAAAACGGCACTAAAATGTATTTCTTCTGGAACAAATTTGAACAACAAGTTTTCTTCTTTCAAAATGTATTTTTTCTGGAAAAAAATTTTAACAAAAGTGTTTTTCAGTCAGTAAGAAATTGACATAAAAATGCTGCATTTTTTTTTTGTCTCTCATACTTATCCCTTTGTCCAAAAATTATACACAGTCATACAACTATTTAAATTTATAATTAATAGGAAATTTTAGCATTGCCACTTTTTTCTTATGCTTACCTTTGCATTGGCGTGAATTCGGCTTATCATCGGTTTGCTCGACAGATGATAAGACATTTCCAAGAAATAAAATGTACAAACACACGTTTTGAACTGAAATCGTCAGCAAGTAATTGTTATTAAAAGATAAACAGCTTATCTAATAATTTGCGAGACCTTTGTTTAAATAACGCAATCACTTTTCACCTTTCTGCTACGAGGGTGTTTTTTCATTTGTACAAAAGACTAATTATTAAAAAAAAAAATAGCGGAACTCGAAAGATTATCATTGGCTTGTGGTTACTAATGAGACCATAATCATTTTATTGGATGTATTTTATTGATTAAAATATATCAAAAAAAAAGTAGATTTTAGAACCAACCGTTGTCAACTTGTTGAGTATTTATATAAATTATATAGTATAAAGGAGGAATATGGGAATTTCCTTTGTAGTTTTAATATAATCACTAGCCTGTACAAATGTACATACTCTGCCGGCAAAAAGTATTGGCGCACCAAATTTTTTACAATATATACAACAATTTTTTCTCATATTTTTCCGCCATTTTTTTTATAAAAATATAGTTCATTCTACAACAAAAAAAGGCAAATTTTCAACTTTTTAATCAGATTTTTCAAAACTTTTTTGAGTACGCAGATTTGTAGCCCAAGAAATTATATTAAAAAACAAGTTTTAAGTAGCTAAGAAATGCCGTTGATTTTTAGCAATTTTTTTCATGCAGTCTCTTCCATACAATCTTTTTTTTTTTCGAAAATACTTTATATGGAAAAAATGCAAAACACCTTAAAAAAAATCACAGCGATTTTTGACTAACTCCGGACTTGCACTTTTTTTACAAGAGTTTAATCGGCTGCAAAACTGGTTACGCAAAAAAATTCTAAAAAATCTGATTAAAAAGTTGAAAATTTGCATGAAATTTTGCTGAATTTTCGGGAGTTTTGCACAAAGTTTAGGAATAATATTTCAATGTTTTTCTGTTGTAGAATGAACCATGAATGAAAAAGTCATGCGTATATTGAGAAAAATTTGCCTAGGCTCACCTTACTTTGAAAATTTTTGGCTATATTTCCGCGGTTTATTTTATGTTTATTATTTTTTTATAAAAGCCTGACTAGTTCTAAAATAAACACCATATCAGCCCACTTTTCAAACTTTATACAAAATTCGACAAATTTTCACCAAATTTTTAAACTTTTTATTCAGAATTTTTAGAAAGTGAAAGTGCAAGTTTCAAGTGGCTAGCAAATACCGTTGGGTTTTGAAATTTTTTTTGTCGGCATTCTCTTCCATATAAAAAATTGCCGAGCACACTTTGTATGGGAAAAAATTCGTGACACCGTCTGCAAAAAAATCCTTAAAAACCAACGGTATTTTATAGCCAATTGAAACTTTCACTTTATTAAATTAAATGGGCTACAAAACCAAAAAATTGTCTAAAAATTCTGAATAAAAAATTTAAAAGTTTTGTGAAAATTGGTCGAATTTTTATAATTTTTGTTCAAAGTTAGAAAAGCGGATTTATATAATGTCTGTTGTAAAACTACCTAGGCTTTTATAAAAAAAATATTAAAAATAAAATAATCTAAAGAAATATAGTCGAAATTCTTAAAAGTACGACAAGTCTATTAATTCTAGCACCAGTGTATATTTCAATTCGGGTTACTGATTGCCCTTGAATATTTTCTTATCAGACTGATACATTTTGAAAATAGAAGACACTGGCGCCGCGGAAAATTACGTACATGCATACATATGTATCTGCAGAATTGTTACGTGAAATATTTTCAGGGTGGGCAAAGGCCATGGTTATAAATGCGTAAAACTGAATTGACAGTTATAAAAAGCCTCCACCCTTTATATTAATAGCCACCATTACAGATCATACGGCCGCCGCTGTGTAGTGGTAAGCAGTGCGCGCTTCCACTCCGCAGGGCCTGGGGTCAAGACCTGGTCAAAGCAACATCGCAAAAAAAACATAGAAAATAGGTTTTTTTCCTAACAGCGGTCGCCGCTCGGTAGGCAATGGCAAACATCCGATTGTATTTCTGCCATGGAAAACAGCTTCTCATAAAAATACAATCGCCTTTCGGAGTCGGCGTAAAACTGTAGATCCCTCCCCGTTGTGTGACAACATCAAGCCACACACCACAAATCGGAGTAGAAGCTCACAGAATCCCATTTTAAAAATCCATTCTGTAAAAGGACCTAGAAAAATGCACCGGATTTTCAGATTTTTTGACCAGTCTGGCTAAGAAATTCATCAATATTAACTCAAAATTTACGTAATGGCTCTTTAGCAAAAAATGTGTTTTTCATAAAATGTTTGAAAAATGTGTGTGGCACCGCCCACTTATATCATATATGTGTCTATCAAAAACTACTTCACCGATCTCGACGAAATTGGATATACATATTGTGCTTAAACTTTTTAAACACCGTCTTGAAAATTTTTCAAATCGTACTCCCCCTAAAATATAGCCAGTTTTATTTTATGTATATATTTTTTTTAATTACCGTTATGTGGGTGGAGCGAGTGGTTTCTGCCACTTAAGTTTATAGGTTTATTCTTTGCTCGTTCCTAAGATAGCTTTGATTTTAAGTGGGCCGTAGAACACCCAGAACTGCCGGGTAATTCTGCACGATCCTGCACGGCTCCACCTCTGTGTGGGCTTCGAGTGATAAATTTCGGTAATTTTTTTAGTCACCGCATGGGACACATTAAGTGCGGAGCTGCACCTTGCTAGTTCGTCCGCTGCCTAGCCAGAGGTAGAATATAGTGTCTGAATGGCTGCTTATAGCATTATTTCCTATGGCTTTATTGTACTCCGCAAATGGAGATGCTGCGAAGTGTAACTTTTGGCGGCAATAAGTACAGTTTTTTGTGCGAAAAAAATTATACCAATCTTAATTATGGCGGAAGAATCCCACTTTCAACTGAAGCCTAGTTTTGAATGTGTACGAAAATTTGAAAAAAATACTAAAAAATTACACGCATAAATCTAAAACAAAATGGAGAAACAAACGCCAACACAATGGTCAACCACAAACAGCTATAACTTGCAAATTACAGACATTAAGATCAAGATCTAACAACAACTATTAACGGCAAATTTTCGAATTCCGTGAGTTTCGGCATTACGCAAGAGTCGTTCATTCCAAACATTCAACCAACATAAACAAAGGCAAAACGTAGTGGGAATTACAATGTGTGACATGCGGCGTGCACAGAATTTCTAGTTGAAGTCATTGGATGCGATGTTGCAGAGAGACAGATAGATGGGCAGACAGTTGGACGCAAATGCGTTAACAACACTCATAATTGTTTAACATTTTCCGTTTTTGGCAATACGCGCGCTGTTAAACTGGCCGCAATCGAATACACACAAACAAACGCACAAATGTACATCATTCGTAAATAAGTATGTAATTTACTTAAACATTACGATTGTCTTATTTTCAGTTTCATTTTATTTATGCACAACTGAGTACTCGAATATACAATCAGCGTCGAAAATATGCATACAGTGACGATTTTATTTAAATTATTATTATTTGTTTTTTTTTTTTAATTTCACACAGAACTCTGGAAAATGCTAGAAGTTTTCATCGAAAATTAAAATTTTTCAATTCGATTTCTTCTACATAACGCATGAACATAATCTGTTTTTAGATGAAGGACGGTGTTGCGTACCCGCAACGAAAAAAATTCCCAAAGACAACGATAATTTTTAGTAACTTGAAACTTACACTTTCTTATACTAGAAAACTGCATAGTTACTCAAAATTTTTCTAAGAAATCGAATTCAAAATTTCGATGAAAATGTCTACCATTTTCACAAATTCTGTATGAAATTAAAGAATTGATTCTTGTGGGTTTTGCTAAATTTTTTATGAAAAAATAAATAAAAAATTGGCATGAAAAAAAATAACTAAAATCGTCAAAACGTCAGGGTATGCATATTTTTGTCGCTGACTGTATGTACATATACCTTCATAAAATACATATTCACCTGCTGGGCTTTTGTATTGGCAGAAGCGACCATTTCAAATTGCTCTCACGTAAGTTAAATAAAAAGTGTTTAACACTGCGTAACCGCGCGCGCAATTGTTGCAGCAGGAGGATAGCAACAAAATAACTGTGGACGGACAACAAACAAGACGAGATTGTACAATTTGACAGTTTCATTTCGTTGCCGGCCGCCATCCACTAAGTAATTCGTTAATGGGGCGGACTAGGCGATCAAGCTTTTACGCATATCTAAACAAACACACGTCCATTAATACACACACACAATTGCATATACATACATAAGTATTTACAAGCGTATTTACGACCAAATTGCTGCTTTGCCGATCTGCCAACCTGTCGACAGCGGCGGGTCAATTATGTAGCCAAAGCAGATCGCGCGGTACCCCATAGCGGCTACACGTAATACCCTGCAACAATTATGGACGTGGCTTGACTTGGCATTGCAGAACCACCGGCTGCCGTTCCAGCTGTGGCCACAATACAGGCGCTACTAAATCTGCATACACATTTGCAGAGTTTGCGCGTGAAGTGAGTTTCGCATTTTGGAAAAGA